GAGAGAAAGCACACGCATGAGAGCAAGGCAGGGGGAGGGGCAGAGAGACAGGGAGAGAGAGAATCCCAAGCAGGCTCCATGCTGTCAGCACAAAGCCTGATGTGGGGCTCGAACTCATGAACTGTGAGATCATGTCCTGAGCCAAAATCAAGAATTGGATGCTTAACGAGCTGAGCCACGCAGGCACCACCCCCCCAATAATCTTTTGAAGTAGAGACTGTTATCCTCATTTTGCAGATGATGAGGAAACTGGGGCACAAGCGATTAGGTCACACTCCCGAGTCATGGGTTTTCAGCACCATGATGTCTGGCTCTGGAGCTCACACTCCTAAGCCCTGTGCTAAGTGCTATGAAAGAAAAAAAGCAGAGAGGGATGGTGAGTGATAGATGGCCTCGGGTGTTATGTCAGGTATCAGGTGGTTAGGAAAGGCCTCTCTGAAGAGATGATCTTTATAGGAAGTTCCTTTTAAAAATCCAGCATCACATCTTGCATTTAGACATCATGTCATTTTAGGCAACTTTAATCCTGAATCATTCCTTTGCCTTTTTTTTTTTTTTTTTTGCCTTTCATGACATTGATCCTTGAAGGATAGAGGCCAGTTGAGAAAGTCTCAATTTAGGTTTGGTATTAACTTTGATCACTTCCCTAAGAGGGTATCTGCCAGGTTTCTTTATCATAATGTTATTATTTTTTCCCTTTGTAATTGATGAGTTAGCTGGAGGAGATAATTTGCGACTACCCTATATGAGAATATTCTATTCTCTGTCTGATTTAGCTACTGGTTTTAGCAGTCATTAATGATTCTTGCCTGAAGCAGTTATTACTGCAATGGTTGCAGAATTGTGATTTTTCTGATTCTTCCCTTCTTTCTACATATATTAATTGGCACTGTAAAAAAAAATTTCCTTTTCTTTCTCTCTCTGTCTCTCATCAGAATGGCCTAATAGATTCTTTTTTGATTCATTACTGTCATTATTTTCTCTAATGTTCATGTCTAAGATTTGGTTTGGTTTGTGAAATCCCCTCCTTTTTTCTGGATTCTGTGTTCTTTTCACTCAAGTTCATCATTTTTTGAAAACTTTCTTAACGGCACAAGATGTTCTAGGCTTGTTGTGAAATGTTTTCTCCCCAGTCCTAGAATCAGTCATTCCCCAAGGAATCCTTATTCCTTTTTGTGGAGAATGATATTCGGAAACCAGGATCTGTGCACTAAGTGTGTTCATTGGTACTGGGGTGGGAGTCACTGCTCTGCCTTTCAGGAGCTAGATAGAGATAGGAGATGCGTGGATATAGCTACATATATAATCCCATCCAATACACAGGGGGCTCCTTTGCCTTGCCCTTTTCCACATATGTATTTTCCATTTCCCTGGATCTCAACAACATTAATTGCCACACAATAAAAATTTCAGAATAGCAACACCCATATCACTACAACAACCAACCTGTTGGGAGGAGTTCAGGAATTCTTTGTTATTTTTGAAATGTAATTAATTCTTACAGTCGCTGGGAAAACTAGTTTCCTAAATTCCTGCATGTTTCAAGTCACGTAACTTAGGAAACTTAAGTGACTTTCCTAAAGCCACACAGTGAACAGGTGTATAAGCAGGGCTACAAGCCAGAATTTTTGACACCTAGGCAGTTGCTTTGAAGATTAAAATCAAACTTCCAAATTACATAGCTGCAGTTCAGAAAAGACAAAAGACAGTGTCCTTCTCCTAAAGGTGTTTTCACATTGAACAATTCTGTTCCATACAGCAGTGCCTTAGTTCCTCCCATAGACATTCTGATCTAATTGGTCTGGCGGTGGCCTGAATATAGGGAGTTTTAAAAGCTCCCCAGGTGATGGTAATGCCCAACCACAGCTGATAACCAACTGCTGTAGCTTTTAATGAGGATAGCAGTGGCCTCTGGGTTTAGCAGCTGCTTTGCATTTTTGTCAGTTCCCTGCTCCGGTAGCATTAAAAATTAAATTTCTGAACATGGGAAGAGAAGATTCTGGAAGAGTGGGCATCAGAAAGTCCTACAATGTTGACGAGCCCCTTGAGAACAGGATCTGCATTTGTCTTTTCACCACCGTGTCTGCAGCCTAGCGTGTGAAGGATGTTCGATAGTGTTTTATAAATGAATGAATAAATGGCAGTGTAAAGGGAATAAGGAAGTTTTTTTTTTTTAGTGTTTAGGCGTTTCCATATTTATTTAATTAAATAATGTATATATATCAGAAGGGAGATAGTAAGCATCCTTAGACTGTAAAATGAAATTCCAGTGCAGAATGAATACCCAGCCTAAGGTGTATGTTGATGTGCTGTTGGCAGGAGGGCCCAGGTCCTCATGAAGAGACGCTTCATGCTAAGTTATGCACTGACAGGGGGCAATGCCAAGCCTCAGAGCTTCTGTCGTCACCTTTTCCTGTTACCAAGTATTTATTAAGCCCTTATGATGTTTCAGTGTATTCTGGGCATATGAACTTGCATTATATTATAATGTATAATGTCTCTTAATTTGCTTAATTCATGGTTTGTGAAATATATTCATATAGCCTTTGTGTCTTTATGGTATACCTGTAACATAGATGTAGTTCTGGTTTTACAAATGAAACTGAAACTCAAGGAGGTGAAGTTTTTTCACTGAGCTTCGGAAGAGCAGGGATTCTCCATAGACCATATTCCCAATGCCCAGTACTTTATATGGCACACAGATGCTCTGTAAATACTGATGAGTGAATGTACGAATGGATGAATAAGTATGTGCATGAATGGGTGATAAAGCTGAGACTCAAACTCAGATTGACTCCAAGTTCCAGGGTCCATTATACAGCATTCCCACTGGGGAAAGAAGGAGGAGCCCCAGATCAAAGTAAAGGGAGAGATCTCTAGAAAGAAGAGATGGTAAGGGATAAATTGTAGTGACAGGCTCAGAGATTTGGGGAGGAATTAGGGTGCAGCAAATGAGCATGACATTTGGAGGAAGGATGCCTATAGTCAAGACTCAGCTCCGTTAACTAGATCATGAGCAAGTCAGGAAACTTCTCTGAACTTTGGATTTCCTCATTTTTAGAGTAGGGTCAGTAGTACTACCTACCTCCCTAAGAGTGTTGTATAGACTGAAGGAAGTAATAGACACAAAAGTATTTTGTACATGCATATTAGTTATTTTATTATCACTGTCACTTTGGGGTTTGGTGCACGAAAGGCTTCCTAGAGATCACCACATTTCAGTTTCTCATTTTACCTCTTTAAACACAAGACACTGTTGGTCTTTGTATTTTGGAAACAGCCCAGCACGAATGCAGTGAGTACTTAAAAGTTAGGAGATTGTGGAATCAGAATTCTACTTAAATTCCTGGCACAAAGTAATAATCATTTTTTTAAAGCTTGAGTAAGATCCTTTGCCCAGTTCAAAGTTGCCATAGTGCTGGCTGTGTTTATACCCCTGCAATGAAATGCAAGAAGTGTGAAATTGAAACCTACTTGTGAATTTTCAAAACATCTTTGTTTACTCACGGGCACTAACCATGTTTGTACTTACAACAAACAATGATTAATCGTGATCATTGAAGTTTAAGTAGTGCCTTGATGAATGAATGTATTTTCTTTTATTCTCTCTTCTTGTCAATTCGGTAGTTGTTATTTTTTTTTTCCCAGTGAGAAATAGAATGTGCTTATAAGGTGGGAAGGAGAGGAGACATGGCAGTGTGGGAAAAGACAGGGCTTTTCTGGCTTGGAGTCCAAGACTTGGATTCAAGTCCCAGTTCTGCCACTGCTGGCTGTGTGACTTAGAGAAAATCACTCAGCTGCTCTGAACTGCGGTTTGTATATCTGAAGAAAAAGATGGGGTTATTAATATACACCTAGAAACATCACTGTGGGGATTAAAGGAAATATATGCCTGCAATTCCTTTAATTATTAGGAAGGTTAATTGTGCCATCAGTCAAGGTAATTTCCACTAAAGTCACTGAAAACAAAAACTTGGGACATAGAACTAGAGGTTACTCAAAACAGCATTCCTCTCTCTCTCTCTCTCTCTCTCTCTGTGTTTCCATAGGTAGTTCTTCCTTTGCCAGCAAACCCACCACACCAACTGGACTGGGTGGAGGATTTGCGCCTCTCAGCTCACCGCAGAAGGCATCTCCGCAGCCTATGGGTGGAGGGTGGCAGCAGGGAGGTGGCTACAACTGGCAGCAGACACAGTCCAAGCCACAGCCCAGCATGCCCCACTCCTCTCCCCAGAACCGACCCAACTACAATGTGAGCTTCTCGGCCGTGCCTGGGGGGCAGAATGAACGTGGGAAAGGATCAGCTAATTTGGGTAAGGGTGATGGCGTGTAGCCTGACTATAGGGTAGCCTGTGTTGTCATGCTACCTGTATGTATGCCTGAAGAAGGAGACAGAAAACAATTCCAGTATTTTCTGAGTCCATCTTTCGTTGTAGAGATACAACAGGATCCCTCCCTCCCACTCTGTGCCTGAAGCACCTGGGTTTACCATGCTCTTGACACTCATCACATCATTTTGTGACTTAGGCTAGTGCACTTGTCTGTCTCTTTCCACACTGACCCCTGATGGAGAGCAGGTATGGTGTCATGTGATCATTAGCACCTAGCTGAGGGCTTGGCGTGCAATAAGCACTAAACGAATACTGAATGGATGTGAGTGGTGGAGCGGCTGGATCTTGAAGCTGTTATTCCTTTGGAAGAGGGGGGAGAGGAGAAAGGTTGGGAGCCTTGTGAGCTCTGTGTTCACATTTGCCCTTGGATCCTCATCAGAGGAGGGTGTATGTCTTGGGACATTTATCTTGCTTATGCTCTGGTTGGCACATGTTTCAGATCACTGGGTTTCCTACATGGTTTTTTCCTCTCTTCTGAGAAGAAAGTTAAAAGAACACAAAATGGGCCAACAGCTAAGGCTAGAGGGTACTCTGGATAGTATTCAGTCTCTTCTTTTTTCTTTTTTTTGAATGGGATTCTTGGTAACAAGTAAAAAAATACTGTATTTTGCATAGCAGCAATGGTTAAATTTTAGTTTGTCAAAAGTCCTGTTATATTTCCCATCTCAATTGATTTGGTCATACTCAAGAGCTGAGTCTTTAGGGGCGTGGTGAAGAAACAGGCCTTTCTCTGTAGAACATGGAAAAGGAAATTCTACTTTTTCTAGTAACTGTAGCTAACATTGAGTGCTTGCTGTATGTCAGGTGCTGTTCTAAGTAGTTTCACGCATTATATCATATAATCTTCAAAACCAACTCCATGTTGTAGATGAAGAATCTGTGACAGAGATAAATGAAGTAATTTCTTAAACCCACACAGCTGTAAGTGACAGAACCAAGATTTGAACCCAGGCAATTCAGCTCCAGAACCCCTCCTCTTAACTGCCACACTCTACTTGATACGACACAGGTACCTTCTCAAAATAATAACATGACAGGGACTCTTTTGCCGGGAATATGTAACATCACGTTTGTTCTTTGGTTCACGATGGGTATTGCTTGCACAGTTCCATAGAGTCTTGTGGCTCCCCCTCTATTTTTATTTTGAGTAGACGTAGGGTAATTGTCAGCAGTCGGCAGATATTTATGTAGCATCTTAAGTGTAGAAAACTTTGGGAATTATGGAAGTGAACAAGACAGGCAGATTCCCTCATCTCAGAGCACTTGCATTTAGTGTGTGCATGTGTGGGTGTGTGTCCAGAACGTCTTACGGTATAGAGATGGCAAATGGCTTTCAATCCAGATGTCAACTTTGGTTGATGGGCATTGACAAGCATGGACTGCTGTGCTTCGGTTCTGTTTTGTTTTAATTTAATAAACATTTAAATAATCAGGCACTATTCTAAACTCCTGAAAATGTTAACTTCTCAATTCTTACAACAACCCTGTGAGGTAAGTATTGTTAACACCATCCCTGTTTTACAGATGAGGAAATTGAGGCCGGAGGATAATAAGTAACTTGCCCCAGGGTCCCACTGCTGATAAGTGTAATTCAAGCCTGGGGAGTCCAGCTATAGAGACTTTGCTCTTTGCCATCAAGCTAGGCTGCCTCTCCAAACATCGAGAAAGACTGTGAGGCCACAGCCAGACTTGGAGGAAAAGAGCAGTATGATGGGCTAGAGCTGTCAGTGGGTAGGACTAGAACTGGGCATGGTCAGGAAAGTGGTGGCATCCGTGGACTTCAAGTACCAAAACCCAGTGTTAGTTCCATCACTGATACTAACTAGTTGTATAACTGGGGTGGGTGGGGTGGGGGTGCATCATGAGTATTTTCAGCTATAAAAAGATGATATGGTGGAAATGGTGTTATGGAGTTGGATTTACTGTAACAATCCAGCCTTGAGTTCTAGCTTTGCTGTGGATATGGTATATGATTCTGGAAAAATCTCTTAGGTTCTTCAAGCCTCATTTTCCTCATCTGCCAAATGGGCATGACAGTCTCATACCCTACTCATTGGGTTAAGTGTAAGAGGATTAATATATGTGAAAGCACCTTGAAGACTCGTAAGTGTTATGAGGTGATATGATTTTATGTTTAAGAGTAGAGACTATAATGATTTCTTTTTAAAACTTATATTGCAGAAGGGAAACAAAAAGCAGCTGACTTTGAAGACCTACTTTCTGGTCAAGGTTTCAATGCACACAAAGACAAAAAGGGGCCTCGAACAATAGCTGAGATGAGAAAGGAAGAAATGGCTAAGGAAATGGATCCTGAGAAATTAAAGGTGTGTGAGCTCCTGCCCCAGGGTGATTATTCTGTGTGAAAAAGTCCTGTGACAAGGTTATGGGTATGGAGCCTTCAGTGTTCCTGGTTCCCAGCTTCCTCACTGCTTCCCTCCATCCACTTTCAGCCAGAGCAGTTCTACTTTTTTTTTTTTTTTAATTTTTTTTTTCAACGTTTATTTATTTTTGGGACAGCGAGAGACAGAGCATGAATGGGGGAGGGGGCAGAGAGAGAGGGAGACACAGAATCGGAAACAGGCTCCAGGCTCTGAGCCATCAGCCCAGAGCCTGACGCGGGGCTCGAACTCCCGGACCGCGAGATCGTGACCTGGCTGAAGTCGGACGCTTAACCGACTGCGCCACCCAGGCGCCCCATGAGCAGTTCTACTTTTATCTGTTTTGATTCTAGAAGTCTAGGTAAGATTGGATTTGTGGAAAAAAGAATATTTCCCTATTAAAAAAGATTTGCCAACCAGCTACTCCCAGTTTAGCTTGGAAAGAAAAGGGTGGTTTCATTATGTGGATGTATTGTGTGAGGTAGTGGAAGAGTTTTTGTAAAGATCAAGAGAATTGGAATGTTCTTGACAGACGGAGAGGTTGAATTCCTATGTGACAAAATACTAAGTATGCTGATGCCAGAATGAACTGGGAGATGGGGCTCTAATCTGTTACCTCATTAAAGGGTTTCCAAAACCAGGACTAGCACAGCCAGTCCATCTTACACATTTTGAAAAAATGTAACATATTTCCAGACAGATTTGAACATTTGTGAAGGATACATAGATTCTTAGATTCTCTTTTGAATACAATATAGGATCCTTGGTTTGCATTTACTTTTTGCTTCATGTAACACTACCGAGACTTTCTATTTCTTCCAAAGCTCTGTGCTCCATCTTGACAACATTTGTTCACTAGACAAACTCTGACAGTTTTTTCTATGGAAGAAAATAGTTTATGTCTTTTAAATGATGCTCAGTTGTTTAGTTGGTATATGGTATTTAGTTGCTTGGGAGAGTAGGCATTATTAACCTTGGCTAAACCATTCATTCACCAACATACACACTGAGCTCCTACTATGTGCTAAATGCTGGTGTGTTCTTATAAACCCTTCAACTTAATCACCTCATTTGTGCAACCTGAGAAGACTCAAACTGTGAACATTCATATTACTACTTGGATTAATTCATTTAACAGTTTTTGAGTTTTCTTTTAAAGCTGTATTTTGAAGCAGTCATGTTATTTGTCTCTTGAGTTATAGTCTTGGTAAGAAACAGTACCTCTTCTCAAACAGCTCTGCCTAATGGCAAGGAAAAACACACACACACGGGTGATTATGATAAAATATAGCACATATTAAGATAGAAACATGTTTAAGGGATTAGCCCAGAGAAATCACCCCCCCCCCCCGGGATATTTATTTAGTGTGTGTGTGCCAGATACTATACCAGACAGAGGCAGATAGCAGAGACCAAAATGGACACGGTCTGTGCCCCCATGGAGTTCATGCTTTAGGAGTGAGATTAACTCTGGGGTGGGGTAGAGAGGAAGGGATTCAAGCTCTCAAAGGCAAATGGTATGAAATTCCTGAGCAGGCTTTTAAAGGATGGTGAAGGGTTAACAGGAAAGCCAAGGTAGGAGGTGAAAAATTATCCTAGGCAGAGAAAACAGCTTGGAGCATGCACAGTGCCCCATGTGGTTAATGTTGTTGGGGCAGAAGCCATTTCCAAAGGCTAAGTGGAGACCTTAGGGACTTGAAAACATTTCTATTTCCTAATTCCCTCTGCGTTTACAGATTCTGGAATGGATTGAAGGTAAAGAGAGAAATATCAGAGCACTTCTGTCCACGATGCACACTGTGTTGTGGGCTGGGGAGACCAAGTGGAAACCAGTTGGCATGGCTGACCTGGTAACACCTGAGCAGGTGAAAAAGGTATACAGGAAGGCTGTGCTGGTGGTGCACCCAGATAAAGTGAGTATGATCTGCCCTAGAAGAGCACTTCTCTGCTCCTTATTTCATTAGCTTATGACCATGTATTAAAACATTATACTCTCAATTTTCTGGTTATTAGGCCATTTAAATGATAAAGTCCATGGGCTAACATCAAGTATTTAAAAAAATAGTTATACTTTATGAAGCAAGAGAAGAAATTAAACTATATATTACAATAATGGAATGGGAGGGCTTTCCCTAGGTATATGATTTATCACTGACTAGTTTTTTTTCCAATTTTTAAATAAAGTTTATTTATTTATTTTTGAGAGAGAGAGAGAGAGAGAGAATGCACACACACGAGCGAGGCAGTGGCAGAGAGGGAGAGAGAGAGCGAATCCCCAGCAAGCTCCACACTGTCAGCATAGAGCTCAATGCGGAGCTTGATCTCACGAACGATGAGGTCATGACCTGAGCTGAAATCAAGAGTCGGACGCTTAACAGACTGAGCCACCATATGTGAATTTCTAAGGGGAGAGAGTTTTGGGGAGGTTATAATAATTAGGATCACATAGAGTGAGCTATAAAATAAGAAATGGCCTAATAGAAAAACATTTCAATTACTTAGAGCCCACATATTAGCAGTGAAAATTTTAATACAAATAAAATTTCAGTCTGTAGTATCTAATGTGTTTTCCTGTTCTTTTTTCTTTTTTCTACAGGCTACTGGGCAACCCTATGAACAATACGCAAAGATGATTTTTATGGAGCTCAATGATGCCTGGTCTGAGTTTGAAAACCAAGGTCAAAAGCCCTTGTATTAGTTTTTGAGCTTTTCCATTTCTGCTGCAGACCTGTGCTAATGCTTAGTGTGTGTCACAGTTCTGAAGTTTTCACAGGTGAACCAAAAACTCCAGTAACATGTATCCAGTACTAAACTGTTAAATTACTCGTGAATTAATTACTCATTGATAAGGAATGTGGATGTTTATTTCCTCAAGTCCCCAGCATAAAAGGTCCAGAGCAGGGAAGGAACTTTTAGTCAGAGGACCTTGTGGAGTTCCTACATTCCAGCCTGCCCTTTGGGGGGCAGACTCAGCATTTTGTGGGGAAATGGAAACCAGAGGCCACCAAAGGCATAACACCCATCTCATTGTATGAGAATAGGATTAATGAGCAAAAGCTATGATAATAGAAGTACATGGTGGATTTTAACTAATGGTTTTTAGATTTTCTTGGAAAGATGTCATTAAAGCCATGGCTTTACATTGACTTTAGGAACACAACCACCAAGTATTTTATTTTTGTGGAAATTTACAATGGTCTTTAGCATAATACTGTATACGTCTTTGGGTCAAGAGGACAATGTAAATTGTGGGAAGTGATTGTATTACAATCCAGTGATTGCCAACCCTGGATAAGCTAAAAATTAGTGCAAATGCTGACTGAAGAAAACAGGGACTCTGTGGAGAGAGAAATCTTTGTTCCTGGTCAGAAAGTTGGGCTGCTACCTTCCTCTCCCTAGAAAACTGTAGTTGCTTAAAGAAAATGTCTTAAGGACGTAACTTCAACTCTAAACCTGATTTGGAAGAAACTTATCATTTTGTCATAAGGCTTCATGCTCTTCCTTTTGCTTAGCCAAGAAAATATTTTTTAGCTGGAAACAGGTTGTAAAGCAGTTTGGCACACCACAACATATCAGGACCAGTGTCTAGTAAGGAGTCCCTGTCCTCTAGTTTTGTGAGTGGTTGTGGTAAGAGAGTAGAAAACAATACAACACCAGTGACGAGACAGGTGCAGTTGGAGCGGGAGAGCTGTGCTCACCTTCGGACCGGACCGAGTCAGATGGCTGGTCAGGATTTGCTTGGAGGGACCATGTTCTCCTCCCCACCTGTTGAAACTGGATCCCTTGGATTATTACAGTGGGGGTTGGTGTTTTAAAAGTAGTCGGGGGTCTACAGGAATAACATTCATGCAGGGACATCTGTGAAAGCAAAGTAAGAATGAAACCTTTGCAGACTTCACACTGGTTGGATTGCACTTCAGTGTTTTGGCTGTTCCTCATTTTGAGGGATCAGCAGTTGCCATCCCGTGACTTGAGGGGGATCTCTTTTGGTGTGCACATCCATGATGTGCATAGTATATATATGCAAAGCAGATGGGCAAAAAGATTTCCATGCTAATCTTAAAAGGTTCATGCTCAATATGGTGAAAAGCTTTCAAAAGTTGTTTTTAAAAGACAATCATTTTTTGTTCCTATTTTAATTTTCTTGTGGCAAACTGTACCAGAAAAGCAGCATGTCAAAAATACTTCATGTTCTGTATAGAAATCTCTCCCTTTTTTTCTTGCTTGCTTGCTTTCTTTCTCTTCCTCCCTTTCCTTTTTTTTTTATTATAAATATTTATTATTTATTTTACCCTTTACTGACAATGTGAAACTCACAGAAAATGTTCTCCTTTTAAATATACAGCTGTAAACCGTCAAGGTAACCATAACAAACTAGGTGTTATTTATTAACGTATTATGAAATAATGTTTGAACCAGTATGTGCTTGTCTTATTTAAAATTGGAATGTGAGACATGTTGCTGTGACCTGGTTTTTTTTTTTTTCTCATTCACATTTGTAGATATTGTGTGAACTACAGTATATAATGATAATAATTAAAAGGATATTATGTGAATGTCACGTACATTTTGAAATGATAGAACTCCATTAGCTTTGTATCATGTTTGGATAATTCATCAATGTTCACAGTTTAAAACATCATTAAACATTATGTAATTAGCAATGAGAAAGAATCTTACCTAACTTATTAAATTTGGGATTTCCCTCATCTCTTTTCCAGATACATTATAATTCTGGACCCCTATTTATCTCAAAACTCTTAACATATGCAGACCAACAGATTTTTGCATTCCTTTTAAATATCTGGTTGTGACAAAGCTTGTTGTTGATCAGATTCACTGTTTCATTCATGTTATTGTAATATATTTTTTGTTTTGTAAATAAGTTACACACAACAAAATGTGATTGGTCTAAAATATTTGTAATGTATATTAAAAGGCTCAAAAATATTTGTAGAAACCTAAGTTATTTTTGCACTAAATATAAGCTAAGTTATATTTGGGAATATAATGACAGGTTTGAGTTATACCTTCTGACATGATTTGCTTTTTAGAAAATTAACGGGAAAAGAGCATGAAAACATTTAATACATTTGCGCCGAAATGTAATCTGATAGGATTTCTGGATTTACACATTAACCACCTCCACTACCACCCTTTCCCCTACACACACACACACACACACACACACACACACACACACACACATACACACGATCATGCTACATAAACACTATGTTTCAAAAAGAATTGGCATAGAAATCCTGGTCTCCTGGATAGACTATTAATGAATTTTCAAAGCTGCGTTTGTATGCTGAGGCAAAGAAATTGATCTTGGAAGTCTGGGACTTTGTCATAGTAAACAGGACTGACCCTTGAAAAATGCAGGGATTAGGGTTTCTGACCCCACATGTAGTCAAAAATCCATGTATAACTTTTGATTCCTCCAAAGCTTAGTTAGTAATAGCCTACTGTTGACTAGGAGCCTCAATGATAACATAAAGTTGATTGACTTCATATAAATGATAACATAAAGTTAATTGACACATATACATGTATACATATATATACTGCATACAGTATAATGTTCTGTATTCGAGAATATTGTATTCTTACAGTAAGATAACCTAGAGAAAAGAAAATGTTAAGAAAATCATAAGGAAGAGAAAATACATTTACCGTACTGTACTGTATTTACTGAAAAACATCCACGTATAAATGGACCTGTGTGGTTCAAATCTGTGTTGTTCGAGGGTCAACTGTATTTCAGTTCTTAAGGATAGAAGCAGCATGTTCATTTGGAAGCACATGCTGCAAAGGAAAAGCATTTGAATCATTCTTTTACTGTCTCTGTTTGGAAGAATGTTCAAGTCGGATCCTAATGCCACTGATGAGACACCATTGTATAAGGACTGAACACAAACACTAAATTCCATAAACAGTTATCACAGCAACAGGACAGTTTCCCTACTGGAAACATCTATGGGGAAATTTAGGTCAAGTATATAGGTTTTGGTTGTTCTAAAATAAACCATGATTTGGCATAATGGTATGGTATTGGTTTGAGACCAGAAAACTACATTTAAATCCTGGTTTTTTACTTCAGGGCTGTCATATTCAACAACTTTGTTAAACTAAGACTTAATCCTATCATATGTATAATAGGGATATTGGTAGTAGCCCTACAATGGAGGCATTAGGAACTGTATATAAACTATTATCAAGTACTCATTAAATAGTAGATATTGTTAATGATCTGTAGAACACAGTGTATCCTTGCAGATCAGTATTGGGTCTGGAATTATATCGAAACCTCCAGTTGGTTGTAGGGAGTAACACAAATAGAAAAAAGCATCAAAAGAAACTTGTGCCTTGGCCCTTATTTCTATATCCTTGGAATGATAGAGTTCTGTCTCCCTAAAATGGCAGAGATTTGAATTGTAGGTTTTGTAAAGGGAATGGCTGTGTGAAAAAGGGAAGTGGTTGAGAGTTAGGGAGGGAAACTAACACTGACTAATTTCAACAGTAGCATCACCTTTGGATTTAACTTAAGCACTGATTTGAGAGCCTACCCCAGTATAGATATAATGCCACTGCATCTATCTGGCAGGCACTGCCCTAGGTGCTATTATATAGATTTGTTTTCTCATTTAATTCTCAAAAAATTCTGGGAGGCAGGTTTTGTAAATCCCACCTCAGGAAACAGAAGCATGGAAACATTTACCCAGAGCTGGGGTTTGAGGCTAGATGTTAGGATAGGGAGAGATGGTTCTATGGATGGTGAACTTACCTGTTAATTCAACCAATATTTTGTGTAAATTGTATGCAAGATACTAATAGAAATGTAAGGGAAAATCAAAATTAACAAATGGATTTGATTTCCCTGTTAAACATAAGAGGTTGTTGTTTTTCTAATTACTACAACAGATTTATGTGGAGTAGTATACGCACTGTCTGACTTTAGAGTTGAACAGTTTTGAGTTTTATCTCAGATTCTTTACTTACTAGTTCCTATTTGAGCCTCAGTTTTCCCATCTGTAAAGTGGAGATAATATAACCTACGGTGTGAGAGAACTGAATGCAAGGAGAGAATATGACGATTTAAAGTAGTTCTGAGAGAATATGACGATTTAAAGAAGTCCTAGGCAGCACGGTAGAGGACATGGATCTTATACATCCAAATCAGGGGTACGTTTCAGGTTCTAAGGTTTTATGTACTTTTTTGGGGACTCTTTTATTCTTGATGAAACATGGAATGGGTAAGTGGAAGAATAACTTTTCAGTGCAACATCTGGCAAAAGGAAAGCAGATGTTCTCAGGAGATGGTTAGAACTTCTGGAAAGATGTTTTCTCTTCATAGTGTTTAGTAAACTGGAAAGGACAGATGGTGTAGGCAGAAACCTTGTTGAGAACTGTAATATTGTGATTTATGTATGTGATCATTCAGATGACCAAAGTATATATATTTGGTCTTCATCCACAGTTCCTGGCTTACAGCTCCCCAAACCCTTAGAATTTCCGTAAATGTAGAGAGTGATAAAGATTTCATTATGTTTGGAAATCGCCTAAGGATCAGGGCTGGTTGCCAATTGAGCCAACCACGTTTTTAGAGGATTGGTACTTTCAGTCCTACCTCATGAACTCTGGGGAGCAGAGAGGGACTGGCGGTTGGCTCAATAGCCAATGTCCAATGATTTAATCCATTGTACCTATGTAATGAAGCCTCCATGAAAACCCAAAAGGACAGCATTCAGAGAGCTTCCAGTTGGCGAACACCTGGGGATGTGGGTAGAGGGGACACACCTAGAGAGGGCTTGGAAGCTCAGTGCCCTCTCCCCACACCTTGCCCTCTGGCAAGTTATTACCTGTACTTCTGATGGACTGGCTATACATCAGAGGTTCCCAGGACCTCCCCTCATGTTTGATTAGTTTGCTAGAGCAGCTCACAGGCTTGGCATTTTGGTGAAGGAACATAAGGCTGACAGGCAGTTCCCCCTGAATACTTTCACTGCTGTTAGAAAGGAGTAATACTCAAAAGCGGGAAAAAGACATTCTGAAGGATCTTGAGTAGATTGCAGGCTACAAAGCAGAGTACAATGTAATTCTGGATCTGCAAGGGTCTGCAATGAGCCGGGTATTAGCAACACAATGTTTTTAATAACTACCTTCCATCTATGAGGAGATATGGGAGGGGCTAGAAAAATGAACTCATAGGTAAACATGTTGAGACAATAATACTTGACTGTACAGTTTTGAAAAAGTAAACTTAATGGGGATCCTGAAAGGTGGCGGTGATGAGAATTTGTACTTCTCAAGCAGCCAAAGGAACCCCTTTATCTTTCAGTCTCTTTGAAAATTAAGAAAAAGCAATAGAAAGGGGGCAGTAGTTCCTGGCTACAATGAGGCATAAGTGGCCTGTAACCCAACCTCCTCCAAAAAGCTGGCAAGCCCTACCTTTTCTGAGCCTCTTTCCATTAAGGTAAAATAAAGCACTTGGATCAAATGGCTTTTAAGATCTCCTCCAGATTGTCCCCACCAAGACAGAAACTCTCTATTCCCGTGAGGAAGAGTAAGTACAAAATGGCCCTCTGAGGTTTAAATTGGTCTTAGTTACCTGCAGACTTTGAGGTCCCAAGGTGTAAGAATAATAACTATTTAAAGGTTCATGAAAGCTTCAGGAGCAAAAGAGGTTATTGGTCTTTGTGTCTCTAAATAAACCAGGGTGTAAGAGAGAAAACGAGTGTTTGAAAAGTGCTAAAGTTCATATTAAGCAAGGCAAGTCCATCTTCGGAGAAAGGTCTCCTACGGACTTGTTCTCTGGTGCTCCCACCCCCAGCTAAACCGGCTGCAGCCACAGCCTTGTAAACGCAGACGGGGAGGCGCGCGCGCGCACACACACACACACACACACACACACACACAAAAGCATCTTGGGGCTCAGAGAAAAGTGCTGCTCAGTAAACGAGTGTCCTTTCCTTCGCTAACGGTTGTAATTTCCCCCCCTTCCCTCTCCCCATTTTCTCGGTCTCCACCCTAAGGCCGAGATTCCTTGCAGCCAGGAACCGCGATTGCTGGGCCTCTGTAGCTCAGGACCTGCACTGGTTTGGCTGCCTTGGAGCGTCTTGGCCCGCGGACCCAGCAGTCCCGGAGGAGCCGAGGCCCCAGCCGACAGATTGAAAAGGATGGGTGTAGGGCAGGTTAAGAGATTATGCGTAGGGCTCAGGATCTGGGAGAAAGGCTCCGGGAACAAGACCCGGTTTACAGGCTGAGAGTGCATTTCCGGGGCAAGCCCAGGACCAGGATCACGGGGTAGGCGGAGCTCTGCGAGCCGGGGGAGGAGTTGTGGACGATCTGGGCGGGGTCTTGCGTGGCGGGAGTGGGCTTAGGACCTAGAGGGACGGGGCTCTGAGTGGAGGGGAAAAGGCGATCGGGACCCTCAGGGCGGGGTTCTGAGTGGCGTGTCAGGGAGTAATCGGGACTGGCAGTGGCGGGGCTGTGCGTGGTTGGAGTAAACTTGGAGCCCACAGGGACCCGCAAGGGCCCGGCTCTGCGTGGCTAGCTTGGACAAGCAGGGGCGGGGCTCTATGTGGCTGGGTAGGTAGGAATCGCGACAGGCAAGGGGCGGGGCTCTGCGTGGCAGGGCTGGCCGAGATGGGACA